AATTTTCCAAATGTCTAGCGCATTAAGAGGGAAAAAGGACAAGAATCAGTTTTTGACTAAGATAATTAAACAACTATCAAAGGACGATCCGAAGCTCGCTGAGGATTCGTTGCTTGTGAGTAGTTGGAAGTATGTTATTGGATGGACCCTATCGATATTATTATGAATAGATAAGATTCTATTAAGAATGAATTGTCATATGGAAAATATGGAAATGTTTCCATATTGGGAGTTGGATATTGAGAATCTATATCTAGATTAGAAAATTTTATGCAAGAAGGATGTTCAAAGGAATGTACTTTGAGTGAGATACATCATATCTATAGAATTGTTTCTGATAGCGATTAGCCAAGTCTTGATGATTTTGAGCTATGACTTTACAAAAGAATCATTGCATAAAAAGTAAGAATCTAGCATAAGTAACAAGAATTTGATATTCTTATACTTATGATAAGGATTGGGAGTTGTGAAATGAGTATGATTGGAAATGTGTTCATTTGATCTATTTCACAAAGAAAGGACCGTAGGTAAAAATTGTGTGCATGCTGAGAGCATGGGACAAGTGTAGTAATAATTCAAGTAAGAAGTTGATTACCCGAAACAACAAATAATGAGTAATCAATATGGTGATTAAATAAAATGTTTTATTTATACCCAGAGTTTGGGGCCATATGGGATTAGTATTATTGTGTTTCACTTTGCATGTTTTGACTTCCTGAATAATTAAATTGGTTCAGAACAATCAAATTATTCGAACGGACCACAGTCGTTCATATGTTGGAAGTAGGTATGAATGAAGACTGTCGTGAATTGGTGTGTGGATTGTCTAAAGTATATTAGACATCAGCAAATGTTTGCTACCACATTCATGAGTGCTTATGAATATGATTTGAGCATTGGATTAAACCCACACTCACTTAGATCACTTCATGGATTTTATCACAAGTGATTTGTGAGACAATAATATCTTATATTCTTGAAACCGAGATGTGTGAGTTATATCTTGCGAGTCGATTATACATTGATAATATGAAAACGCACCAGTAACTTGGTGTCATAAAACATATTGTTGTGTGTGATTCGGTAAGTGAGTGCAAGCAAGCATTGATTCAAAGTTTATTTGTTCCTTTTATCCAAAGTGGGATGAAAGCGATATCCGTGGGCCCCTCGATGATTTAGTGATGGCACATAAGCGCTTGGCCAAGCCGGGACTAATTTGATGTGTTCAATTGTAGTCTGTTGTCAGTCGTCATAAATCGGAAATCGGGAAACAATATAGAGAGAAGGATTTAAATCCATGTCTTAGTCTATACGATATCTAGAATGGATGAATATATGATCCCTTATCTAAAGGACACGCTTCTGATAGGATAAGAGTTGATAGCGGTTTTTGAAAGCTACGATTGCGGATCAAGATCTGAAGTCATACGCAGAATAGTTATTAGACTTATCCAAGTGGGAGACTGTTGGATTAGTGTCTAAGTCCATAACTATTTTTGGTATGTACTTGACCCGATGGTGCATGGTCCTTTTGGGTTGCCTTCATCAAAGCAAATTGATAGGATGAATTATGGAAAGAGAGGAGTAATTATGATTTATTAATATATTATGAGAATAATGTATTAAAGGAAAATTATATTGTTTAATTAATATTAGTCAATAATTAATGAGAATTAATTTTGTGGCTAAAAGACATTAATTAAATTGAAGGGACTAGAACTGTCAATTGTATGATAGTTGAATATTGGGCTAATGGACTCCATATTAGAGGGGTGGACGAATTCTATGGGGAAACCCATTAGAAATCATCCAAGACCTCTAAGAAGGGATTCCATGGGTTACTTATGGCCTAAGCAGTCAAATTAGGGTTTCCTTGTTAGATAACCCTAATAGCCTCACTATTTAAGGATCCTTAGAGCACCAAAAATGTGGTGAAGAGTTTCCTTAGGGTTTCTACACGTTTTTGGGTGCCTCCTCTCTTATCATTCTTCGTGTTTGTAAGCCATTAGAGGAGTGACACTTGTGACTCTAAGATTTCTAAAGCCATTACAAAGGAGGATTTGAGATTGTTATTGCTACATAACAATCAAGGTAAGATCTAAACCCCAATCTTATGTTAATATGATTAATTGTATGCTAGATCTAGGGTTCAAAGTCATGGATGAATTGCATGTACAATAGAGAAACCTAGATCCAAGCATTAGGGTTTGCATGAGCACATAGGATGTTCTTATGGCTAAAACCCATCAATACTAACTTAATAAAATCAACAATAAGTAGAGAATATAGTTATCAAAAGTACGTGAGGTTATTTAATAAGCAAAATCAACAAATAACTAAATAACTAAATCCAATCCATAAATTCAACCACAAATAATCAATCAATCCTAGGCTAAACGAAAGTCATGAGAATTGAGCTCATGATTTCAGCAAACAAAGACATAAACTTGAAATTCATAATATTAGACATGGTAAAATCTAATAAAAAGTCAAAGTGTAGAAATTAGTTTCCTTAATGCTCCTACTTCCAAGGTTATAAGCAAATTCCTTACTTCCTAGCCTTAGAACAGGTGCTTTGCCTTCAAAAGTGATGATTGCTTCTAGAGAAAATGGTCCAAATTCGGAGGAGAATGTGATCTATTTATAATTTTCCCAAATTCAGAGCTCCACAACATATAGAAGCCATCACGTCGTGGTCTTCGTGTTTATACCGTGTTCCACAAGTCTTCGAAGCCAATCGGGCTACTTTAAAACACCACGTCACTATAGGGTCACCACGACGTGTTTACTATATTTTCTTCATTTTGAAACATTAGCTCAAACTCCTTGCTTCACGCTTCCAGCTAGCAGCTTCCTTTTTACTCCAAGCATGTCTTTTACCCCAACAACACAATTCATAAGTAGTTAAGTACCTTTTGTTCAATAAAAAACATAAAAGTAATTAGAATATTAAGATATTATGTATAATTATGTGTGTAAATATGCACATATCAAAATACCCCACACTTCTTCTTTGCTTGCCCTCAAGCAAATTGATTTTTGTTATCTCACCAATATCGCATAGAACAATCCATTTCAAACCTAGTCATTATCCTAAGACCACAATGCATGTATTTTTGTCTACAATTCCGAAGAACTCCCCACTCCTAAATATTCACAATCTTTATGAACCTTCACTCCTTAACTTATACGATACTCATTTTTTTGCAACCCTGGGAATCAATCCCCGTAAATCTTGCTTAACCTCAAGGTATTTTTGGTTAAATAATGAAGCATACATAAATTCTAGAAAAATTACAACTTTGATACCAAAATAGAGCTCTATGAATTCTTCACTTATTTGATCTTTGATCTCTTTGAATTCACTACCTTCTTTGTTTGATTTTTGGTATCTTCAACTTTTGAATTTCTTTCGAATTTTGAGCTTTGAATTTTATACCTTGACTGCTCCAAAATTCTTTCAATTGTTTTAGTAATTTCTCTCTTTTTTACATGTACCTTACTTTTGTTTTCACTCAAAACCTACATGCGTAAGCAAGGAGCTTAACTTCAACCTTTAGTGGTTAAGGCATTAGTCTAGGTGGAATGACTACTTAAGCTTTCTTGGATAGATTCCAGGTACAAGCTGCAAAACTTATTGCATCATATAAGCTACCAGATTACCTTTCATACTTCATGACTTTTCACGAAGAAATGGGAAGTCACAAATACACTATAACATATATTGGCTCGGGTAAACATTTAGGTTCCCACAGGATCATCGGATACTATACTAGCAAAAAATTTAATTAGCTAAGTTTCCTAACTTAAACTATTATTTCAAGTTTATATGAATGCAAAATTTGAAAACTAGCAATGTAAAAATTTTGAAATCAAATGTTTTTTTCTCTAATGCAATATACCCCTTACCCCACATTTATTTCAAGCAATGCCTGCATTGCATGCTATGCAACAAAACATAAAATTAAAAAGAGGGAGAAAAAAGAACAGACTCCCCTGGGATAGAAGATGTATCTCAAATCGTTATGTAGGATCGTTAGCTTGCTCTTGTGGTTATTTTACAAAACTTCAATTTTCTTGATTATTTTTTTAAAACCACCCTTCATTTTTGGTTATTTACCGAAATTTCTCTCTCTCTCTCTCTCTCTCTCTCTCTCTCTCTCTATATATATATATATATATATATATATATATATATATATATATATATATATATATATATATATATATATATATATATATATATATATATATATATATATATATAGGATTAGGTTCATTTGAGACCACCTATATTTCACTACAAAAAAACAGACCTTCACCCACGACCCTATTTGTGGGTAATCAGTGGGTAATGGTCTTTATCCACGGATTATCCACGAAACCAGATTCGTGGGAAAAAGCTCGTGGGTAATATTTTCCCACGGATTACCCTCAGAATTACCCACAGATTATCCACGAACAAATTTACCCACAGATTTACCACAGACAGTTTACCCACAGAATTACCCACAGTTTATCCACGAGCAAAGTTACCCACAGCTTATCCACGACCACATTACCCACAGAGTATCCACGAGCAAAGTTACCCACAACTTATCCACAACCTGATTACCCACGGGTTTTCCACGGCTCTATTACCCACATATTTTCCACGGATGTTTACCCACAGATTCTCCACATAATTGTTTACCCACAGATTTTCCACAAATATTCTTTTTGGGTGATTCCGTGGATAGTCTGTGGGTAACATAACAAATTTCAAATGTTATATATTTACAAATTGCATAAAATCCAAATTTTTACAGCTAATTTGAAAAAATATAATATGACCAACAAAGTTTCAACCGAATCCATAAACTTAATCTAGAAATTTTCAAATGTCAAATCCACAAAAGTTTCAATTCCCAAATTCATAAACTTAATCTATGGGAAGTTTCAAATACCAAGTTTCAAATGTCAAATCCACAAAAGTTTCAATTCCCATATCACCCTACACACTAATTGTTTGGCATGAATTTACTCCAAAGTTCTTCCATACGTTTTTCCATAGTTTCTTGACGTGCTTTGGATTCCTCACGTTCTTTTCGAAATTGTTCCAACTCTTGTTGATGGCGGGCTTCGGACTCATCGAGTCGGGTTTGCAAGTCCCGTATCTAAAAAAATGGTAAATCAAACAATATTATCCATAATAGCAACATAGTTTACTATTTTTACCAAATATAGGAAACATATTTACCTTTATTATCCATAATGGCAACATATTTACATTTTCTATCAGTAATAGCAACCTACTTATATCTAACAACATATTTTTCTCATAACACATCACCAAGTTAATTTAACAAAGCTAAACATATTAATTTCAACCACTTTAACAATTTCACAAATCCTAAACATACCACTATAACAATTTAAACAACCAAAACATATATATGAACAATATAATAACAAAGAAAAATGTACCTCTTTAATAACTTAATAAACCCTAAACATACAAATTTAAAATTTTAACTAACCAAAACATATCACCCTAATAGCAACATACTTACATTTTCTAACCATAATAGCAATATATATTTTTATCCTTAGTAGCAATGTGGTTTACTCTTTTTACCTAATACACAGGAATGTATATATATATATATATATATATATATATATATATATATATATACAGACACACACACATACTTGAATTTTCTAACGATAATAGCAATACCTCTTGTTGAGATCGAGCATAGTCCATAGAGAACATGCCATAATTTGGTGTCCCGGTCACCGCGAAACTTGGATCCGAGTTTCCTACCCCAAAAACCCGACCCTTCTTTCTCCCGCCTGCACACTGCTCCCACAATCCAACATCACCAAGTGGATGCAAACTGAGGTCATCACCATATTTATCCTTCATTGCATTGTGGTATGTTTCCTACAATTTAAAAAAAAATAACATGAATGTTATTGTGATAAAGACTAAGAAAACTAATATGTATATCAAATAGAAAATCTAAATTAGAGAAAGATAACTTACATATACTTTTTGAGCCTTAGGGGTAACAAACTCTAGATTTTGGCTCCCACTCGACTCCTCTCCGGAAACCAACCTCAACTTTGAACTTGCTTTGAGGTGTGTCATGCAATAAACTTTATCCCATGTGGGTTGTTGCCCGTTGTTCTCCTTCGCCTGCAAAAAACACATTGTAATTTTTCTATACTATTAGATAAAACATACAGATCATTTCATGATATTGCTTTAGTTATCCTACAAACATTATAAGCATTAGGGGTGACTTAAGAATTACTAAAGTTTGTAAATACAATTAGTTTACCAGCTTCATGCGATGTTGTCCCATGCTAATGGATCCGCCAGTATGCTTGGACTTGCAACCATCCACCATAGAGTTACGATTGGTGCTTCCACTCTCAGACCTCCTACGCCAAGCAGCACTGTTCCATACCTGTTCAGTAAAAAGGTAAAAAAAATATAGGTTCTTATGCACGATAATATATTAGGAACTGATTAAAATAGAAAAAAAAATATGAATTTATTAATTTAATTACATCGCACAACTCATGCCATAACTCTCGACGGATCCATGTAGGCGGATAGTCACGCATCGACATGTCAAACCTTTCTGTAAAGACATTTCCGGCCTGCTTAGCTGCCTTAGCTGCTCGTTTTCTAGCAGTCCTCATTAGCTCCCTGAAATTTTGTTTAAGAATGTTTAGGAAGCCCTCGTGTATCTTTGCATCCTCTGATTCTGGCCATTGATAAAGGCTCTGTACAAAATAAAATTACAAAGTTAAATATGGAAACTAAAACAAATCTAGATAATTTAGCGAAAGTATTAATACATTACCTTGAAACGACCAAACATACGCTCGTGGGTGACACTATCAACTTCGCTCCATGTAGTCTAGTGAGTAGTATAAAACATACGCATGATCAATGTGATCTGATGATGCACGGTAGGATCACTAAACCTACAAAATTAAAATAACAAATTCATTATATTTATAACGTCAATTATTTACATAAGATAAAAAAAAGTTCACAAACCCTTGATCAGTCCGCTCGATAAATTCCCTATGAGCTGGATTAGTTGGAGGCGTATCAGGGATATTTGAGCCACGCCCAATGATGTCGTCATCTGCACCATCATCACCTTCCTCACCATCTGCACCATCATCACCTTCCTTACCATACTCATCGTCATCACCGTATGAGTCATAATCTTGATGGTCGGGTATGGTCTGTAAGATACTAAGTCTGTGAGACCTAGTGTCATCAGCATGTGAGCTACCAACACCGTGCCCATTACTACTCCCCCGCAATGCACCAACACCACCACCAACATGACTAGATTGTATTCTACTACCACCACTACCATGACTAGACTGTGTCTCCTTGTTACAACTACCAGGACTAGACTGTGTCTTGTTACATTTGCCACTAGTAACAACATGTGATTGTTTCCCCTTACCACAAACCAGAATCATTTTTTCAATTTTTGACCATTAAATATTGTTATATTCGTCCAATCTTTTACAAAACATAATCAATTGATGTATTGACTTGTTTGTTCAACTTATTTCACAAATAAAATTAAACATACATAAATACTTTTATACATGCATACATACTTAATATTTCAGTATACTCCGTTTTTTCATCAACTTAGTAAACGATACATTCATGTGTATGATATGTATCTAATAAATTGAACAAACAAAGAAATACAATGATGTATTAAATTATGTTAAACATGGAACGAAAATACAATGCTTGAGGGTCGAAAAATTAAAAAAACGATTATGGTATGTGGGTAATCTGTGGATAATTACCCACATATTTCCCACAATAATAAATAATTTTTCCATTTTTGATCATTTAACGTTATTGTTTTTGTTTTATCATTTATAATGTATAATAAACCAATGTATTTCTTTGTTTTATCAACTTATTATACACATATATGCATACATACTTTATAAACCAATATATCATTTGTTTTTTCAACTTATTATTCACATACATATGTACATGGATGAGAATAATAAACTAATGAAACAAAGAAATCATTGATTTAGTAAAACGATAGAAATATGGAACTAAAAAACAACATTTAAGGGATGAAAATGAAAAAAACAATCTTTTTCTGTGGGTAATCTGTAGAAAATTACCCACGTTTTACCCACAGACCGGAAATGTTTCCCATTTTCCAAAATCCGTGGGTAAGACGTGGGTGATGGCAATATTGTTCCCACGGATTTTCCACAGATTTCTTTCTGTGGATAATCTGTGTGTAATTCGTGAGAAGTAGTTTGTAAATTATGGGTTTTTAAGTCGTGGAAAATCGGTGGCAAATGTGTGGGCAATTACCCACAGATTTGGTCTGTGGGTAATTTTCGTGGGTGAAGGTCCATTGTGTAGTAGTGTTTTGTGAGACCGTGAGATGCATTTTTTTATTTTTTTTATTTTTTTATTTTTAGTTAATTCATGTTCCGAAAATAATATTTAAAAAAAGAATTTTTTGATTTTTCCATTTATTTTGCATTTTAAAATTATTTTTAAAATATGTACAATGTAATATTCTATTTAGAATATTTCACGTATTTTTCAAAAAAAAAAATAGAATTATTTATTTATTTATTTTTTATTTTTTTTAGTTAATTCAAGTTCCGAAAATAATATTTAAAAAAAGAATTTTTAGATTTTTCCATTTATTTTGCATTTTAAAATTATTTTTTAGAATATGTCAGTGTAATATATTCTATTTAGAATATTTCACGTATTTTTCAAAAAAAAAACGGAATTTTTTTATTTTATTTTTATTTTTTTTAGTTAATTTAAGTTCCGAAAATAATATTTAAAAAAAGAATTTTTGGATTTTTCCATTTATTTTGCATTTTAAAATTATTTTTATATTTGGTCTCACGGTCTCACAAAATTAGAATGGTCTCAAATGAACCTGAACCTCTATATATATATATATATATATATATATATATATATATATATATATATATATATATATATATATATATATATATATATATATATATATATATATATATATATATATATAATTTGATTATGAAAACTACTATACATATTTTACAAATTGAATTTTCTGCCATATATATGATATAACACAGTGGTACATATTTGATATAACTTTTAATTATGACTATTCGATTCTTGTAGCATGTTCTTTAATTTATCATTTTTAAATTATCATTGCAGCAATTGTTTAATCCGATTGCAGATATCGTTTAATAAATTTGGAGTTGTGTTCTATAATTTTTTTTGTTAATGTGGTCGTTATATCACAACTAAAAAAAAAAAAAAAAAAAAAAAAAAAAAAGAAAAAAAAGAAAACATATATGGATCAGAAAGCAACACGTAAATTGACAAACATAATGACATGTATTACATATTCAAATATTATCGAATCTAGAATCGAATGCTATGAATAAAAGTAATAAGGTTAAATATCTTATCAAACCATACATAAACCGTAAAACCGTATGTGCCAAACCGCACTGCATAGTACGGTTTATGGCTTTTGCAGTGCGGTTTGCGGTTTGAAAAAATCGTAAACCGCATATGCAGTGCAGTTTGTGGTTTTCACTCTAAACCGTATCAAACCGCACTGCGAACACCCCTAGTATACATACCAACGATATCGAATATTCAAACAACCTGTTGGTTACGTGCCCGTTTGCTGCAACGATATGGAATCAGATTTTTATATGGTGTGGTGTATCAGTGTATCAGATGCATACAATGACAGATCTGCTTGACTTTGTAAACTAATTGGGGTCGATGTCCAATAAAAAAAAAGATCTTTCAAGCACTTTGCTACGGTACAATTTGAGGATTTGGAAGACTAGAAACGATCTAATATTTAACTGAAGTTTTTCTATTACAAGCATTATTCATGGTATTATTTCCTTGGTGTACGTGTGGAGAAAATATAAGGGCAATTACGTCCAAATTTGTTGGACCGATTAGTGTTATTCTCCCTTTGTATTTGTATAAACTGTTTGTTCTTCTCCTGTTTCATCCCCTTTTCTTGTGGTTTGCTAGGCTTGGGGTTCGGTTTAAAAATATTCTACACGTATTGATATAATTAAATCTTATGTTTAAATGTTTCTGACAAATAACCAGTAATTACTACTAATACACATGAACACCTATCAACATCAAGTAATGTTTCTTGACATGTTAATTTGTTTGATAATAAGGATCGATCTATCTTTTTGCAGACACCCAAATGTGACGTTGATTTACTATTTGTAGATGTATTTTAAGATCATAAAATTATATTTAAAAAGTATAACATGACTTTTTAGAAAAAGAATAATGCTGGAAGAATTAAATTAGAGTAAGATATTTGTTTCAACTTTTATTCATTTTATTCATGTGTCACTATTATTTCTAATAATAATGATGGGCCAGGTAATAGGAATGATATGTGTGGACCTATATCTTATCAGTCCAGGTCTTTGTCCAGGTGGTGGGACCCTTCTTTGTTGGTCACTGTCTGATCCTTAACCCAAAAATATCATAAAATTGGGAACAGATTTTCATATCTATCTACCTTTAATTTTCTAATAACAAAAATACTACTTTCCTTCGTTTTTTTTTTTCTTTAATAGGTAATAGTATACAGGGAAATTTTGTTGTATAACCAAAGCGAATATCATAATTAAATTTAAAATAAATTTATTACGAAGATTATTAATGTATGAGAAATTAAATTGCCTCCTACCTTTTATTCCTATAATTATTCCTACCCACTAAAATTATGACAAATCACCATTCAATTTAATTGTATTTGATATATTCCTAATATAGTCTTAATAATTTAGTTTAAAAAATATGGAAAGATGACACTTGTCATAATTTTATTGGGTAGGAACATTTGTAGGTATAAAAAGTAGGAATCAATTTAATTTCTCTTAATGTATTTCACATTTAATTATAGTAATATTTTTTATAATTAACTAGGTTAAAACCTATGGAACCCACGGGTGATAATTTTAAATAAAATTAAAAAATTGATTATATAATAAAGTAATATATTATTAATTTAGAAAAACTCATGCATTGTAATGTTGTATTTTTTTTAATAACTTTATAATTTGTAAGTATTTAATTACACATTTAAATACACCTATTTTATAAAATGCATGAGTTTGTATAATGCAACATAATCACTCAGAAGACAAACGCGTGGGTTGTAAAAACGACTTTATTCTTATTAAACCCTTACTTTTGGTGTATGATTCTTATTGAACATATACGGGTTGTAAAATCGACCAAACAGGAGCGCGTGGGAAGAAAAAAAGCTTGTTGGCTAAAACGTCATTTTTCCTATTGTAACTTACCATCCCAATAAATCTTTAATTCCACTGTCTTCATCTTTTTTCTTTCATTATAAGATACCTCTTCCATTTATTTCTTTTTAATAATGATTTTACAAAAAGAAGAATTTCCTTTATAAAATGGCACCATATACTTGTAGATTATTGGTAAATTAAAGATCAACAACTTTTGCTTATAATTTATAAGTAATCAATATATTAAATGACTATATCTCTGGATTATTGTAAGTGTTTTTATTGTCTTTCTTACCGAATATATAATAAAGATACAAGGGTTTCTCTTATATAAGTTCAGAAATCGACATTATTATAATTATAATCTTTTATATAAATAATGGCCCGCAGTATATACAAAACTAACAGCATGCTAAGTACCTACTATTCGGCTACAATTAAAAAACCAACTTGATTATTACCAATATTGTCAGTATCGTCCATTATTAATTAAAAAATATTCAAAGATAATGATATAATTACATTTAAGTTCCAAAACCCACTTGTGCTTTTAATACTTTTTTGTGTTTTCAAATCAGTACATATATTATAACCATCCGCAAAACCAAAAGAAACATTGTCTTCGTAAAAAAAAAAAGTATTCATTCAAAACATCTCTTAAAAAAAATAAGAATGTTTAACTTACAAAAAAATAAATTACTTGTGTGAACAACTTATAATAAATATGGTACAAAAAACTTGACGTCTTTCTAACTTGAGTCATGAACTTTCATCTAAGCATGTATGAGAACCAATTAAAGAGCGTAGCACCAAATCTTGACTTGCATAAAATTTGAAAGAAGAAGCAATAGGACCTATATATGTTGAAAATACCCTCCAGCAAGACTAAGACAGGACCAAGGAAAATACCCTTCAGCAAGACTAAAACAAGACTGAGACAGGACCAAGGAAAACCACAGTTAAAAAGAAAAACACTATTGATAATTTAAAATGGTAATAACCAATCAAAGCTTTGTAAAAATTTATTAATTTATAAAGACTTTCATTTGTAAGTTTATTATAAAGTTTATTATATTTGTCATAAATAACTAATATTATATTACTAACTTTCTCTTTATTTAGGAATTTTGAAAATATTCTTACTAATTACC